CGAGGAGGTTCGACGAAGAGGGTCTGCGGCGCGCGCGGGAAGGAAGCCAGGGGGCGCCGGCCTTCACAGAAGGCGCCGAAGCGCCTCAGAGGCCCTCGTGCCCTTTCAACAAACGCACGGTCGGACCTGGAACCGAGGAGCACCCTTCAAAAACATGAGACCCTCCGCTCCCCCTGCCGGGCCACGCCAAACCACGAGATCACTCGAGGGAACCTCGCCCGACATGCACAATAACATCCAACAAACACGAAGAACAGTAACCGAGCACGGGCGATGACAATACCCGGGGGATAATGAAGTTCGGGGGTCTGGCATGGATAATCAACGACTTCCCCGGGGAAGATGAAGTTCTGATGATGATGGTGATGGCGATGATCATGACGATGGTGGCCCTGGGCGCTCGGCACATGACTGGCTCGAAAGATCTCGATGCTCGTGGCTACAACTTGCCAGCGGGCGCTCGGCGCAATACAGACTCGAAAGATCTCGATGTTCTTGGCCATGCAACTTGCCAGCAGGCGCTCGGCGCAAAACTGGCTCGAGAGATCTCGAGGCTCGTGCCTACATATTGCCCGCGCAAGAGAGGTCCTTGGCCGTTCTGGCCAAGCAACCTCTCTTGCGCTGGACTTCGAACAGCTCCCCAGTGCAGGCGCGGTGCCCTTTGGGGCGGTGGCGCATGCCTCCTCGAAGCTGGCAAACTTCTGCTCGGCCGCCGCGGGGTCCTTGCAGGGCTTGGACTCGTGCTTGGCCTTGGCCTTGGCCTTGGTCTTGGTAAAGTCGTTGTCGCTGGCCTCCTCGAGCTCGTTGGCCCACGCGTTGCCTCGGGCACGCATCGCGTTGATGATCGCGGGCGCTCGGACGCCCTCGCCTCGGATCTCGCGCAGGGCGCGCTCGACCCAGCGACTCGTCCTCAGGCCGCAGGACCAGGCAGCGGCTTGGAACGTCACGTTGCTCGGGGCAGGGCAGCTCCCGCCAGGGCCAACGGCGCCGAGCTTACGGAGGATCCTCGTTGGGAGGCCATACGCGCACCCTACCGGCGATTTCTGAGGAGGAGGGCGGGGTTCACTTCGTTCGGCAGCTCCCGAGCACAGTGAGCCCTACCTTCCCCCTCAGAAATCGCGGGGTGCAGGTATGAATGCGCGCGTGGCCCTTGCGGGCCTGCTTGGCGTTCTCGGACGGCCGCTTGAGGGCGTCGCGGTGCTCCGCCGCGACGCTCCCGCCGATCCTTGAGACCTCGGCGGGCGTTGCTACAATTGCCCCCCCTGCCCAGGGCGCCTCCAGGATCCGATCGATACCGGAGCGCAAAACTAAAGGCAGCTTGGGGTAGGGGCAATTGTAGAAACCGCAGGCCTTGAGGTAGGCGTAGTGCGCGGGCGCCTCGGAGTGCGCGTAGATCAGGACGTGCTGGGCCTTCTCGACTCTCTCGGCCCAGCGCGTCTGCTCCTCGGGCTGCTCGGCGGCAGGTTCGCCCTCGCCCCGGCCCTCTCGAGCCCCGGCGACGGCCGCCGTGGGCTCGACCGCCAGAACGGCTTCGGGGACGCCCGCGCGCCCCTCGATCTCGCCCAGCAGCGGGCGCGCTGTGCCCAGCTCGGGGGCTTTGCCCTTGACGATCTGCTCGCAGTTCATGATCGCGTACTCCTTGGCGAGCTCGGTGCGGCGAGCCAGTCTGGTCTGCCGCCAGGCGAGCTTGTGCGGCTCGGGGAACATGTAGCCCTGCTCGGTCGTGACCTGCGGTGCTCGGGATTCGCAAACATTCGTTAGCTTCCGCCTGCTTCCGCTCCGCGCCGCGTCCGCCAACTTCTGCTGTTGTTGATGGTGCTGTTTCGTTTGCTGGTTGTTTTTGCTGTTGTTTGTGTTCTTGCTCCTGTTGATTGCGCGTGTTGTGCTGCTTGCGCGTGCTTTCTTCTTGCTGTAGCCGGCTCTGTTGCTCTGGCCCCTTCTTTTTCCTGGCGTCCTCGAGGCCGGCGGCCACCTCGCTGAGAGCTCCCAGCACCTCGTCCTCGCTCTGTCCGAAGGCCCCTCGCTGAGGGCCCCCAGCGGCTCGCGAGGCGCCTCGAGGCTGAGTCAGGGCCCGGGGCCGAGGCTGGAGGCGAGGCAAGGCTCGGCCCCGACCGAGTGCAGGGCAACGCGCTGCCTCGCCGTTACGGGCTTGCAGAGGCGCCTGCGCTTCTTGTCCCCGAACTTGCAGAAGCCCTTCTTGTCCTCCAGCTTGACATCCGCGTCCTCCAGCTTGACCTCCAGCTGGACCTCCTTGTCCTCCAGCTTGACCTCGAGCTTGACCTTCTCGCCCTCGAACTTCTTGTCGTCGAGGCTCTCGCCGCCCGACCGCTCGGCGAGAAGCCGACGATCGTCGCTGTCCGACTCGGTCACGGAGTGCTGCGTCCTCAGCTGGCTTGCAATGATTGATTATCAATGGGCCACGGTTATTTGTTGCTCTTGTTGTTTGTAGTGTTGCTGTCGTCGTTTGTCTTGTCGCGTTTGCTCTTGTTGTTTGTATGGCTGATGTTTGTTGTGTTGTGCCGCTGTTGTTTGTGAACATGCAGTTCGTTTTGTTGCTATTGTGGCCTGATGTTGCTGCTGCTGTTGCTGCCTGCTGTTGCGGCCGTGGCTGCTGTTGTTGGCGATGTTGTTGTTTTGCGTGTGGGTGCGTGAGTGTGTGTGTGTGTGTGTGTGGATGTGTGTGCGTGTGTCTGTGAGTGCGTGAGTGTGCGAGTGTGCGAGTGTCTGTGTGTGCGCGCGTGTTAGTGAGTTAATGCATATGTGCGTGCGCGCGCGAGCGTTCGCGCGCGTTCGCGCGGCAGCCAGGTGACGAGGCTCGACCATCGATCCTCGGATCGAGGACTCAGGAATTTGGAGCCCTGGCATGGCGACCCTCGGGTCTCTGATCGGAGATGCTCGCAGATGCTGAAGACCAAGACCTCGGATCCCCGACCCGAGACTGAAGGGTCGAGCCTGCTCGATGGCAGTCTGGGCCCGAGGACGGCGACAAGGGATATCGACAATCGCCGACGCTCGGTCCTCGAGCCTGGGATGTCGAACCCGAGATCTTCGGGTTCAAACGTTGCGATCCTCGGATCTAGGATCCATGGCGTTCAGAGATGCGTGGGGCCAAGATCTCGAATCCTCGATCCGAGTATCGAGGATCGAGCCTCCTTGGCGGCGGCCTGAGCGCCTGAGGACGGCGATGGGGGGCGATCTACTGTCGCCGAGGCTCGATCGTCAAGCCTCAGATGTCGATGCCGAGATCTTCGAGTCCAAGCGTGGCGATCCTCGGACCTAGGATCCAAGGCGCCCGAAGATGATCGGAAACCAAGATCTCGGATCCTCGACTCTCCATCCGGGAATCGAGCCTGTTCGATGGCGGTCTGGGCCCGAGGACGGCGACGTGCGCGATCGACGATCGCCGAGGCTCCATCCGCGATCCTCGGATCGCGAGACCGAGATCTTCGAATCCAAGATTCAAGGCGCCCAGAACTACTGCTCGGAATCAAGACCTCGGACACTCGATCCAGGGATCGAGCCTCCTTGATGGCGGGCTGGGCCTAACGACGACGCCGGTGACGATCGACGATCGCCGAGGCTCGATCCTCGATCCTCGGATCGCGAATCCGAGATCTTCGAGACCAAGACTTGCGACCCTCGGATCTAGGATCCAAGGTGGTCGAATATGCTCGGACTCCAGACCTCGGGCCCTCGATCCGAGGATGGGGGATCGAGCCTTCTTGATTGCATGATGCTTGGTCGAGGATCACTCGGCGAGAGGGGGGGGATACTGCCCCGCAACTTGGAACGCCACCCGCGCGCGCTTGAACGCTCGCTTGAACCTTGAAAAGCAGGTGGGGCTCGAGCGCGTGCTTCGAAGCGCTCGCGCGGCACCCTCGTAGCGAGAGAGCATGGGAACGCTTGGATCGGGACGCTCGTGCGCCAAGCTCTCGGGCGTCCACGAGCATGAACTTGTCGGCATCTGGCTGGGCCTCTTCGCGTCGGCCCGGCTCCTCTCGGGCGAGCGCTGGTTAGTGATATTGTCGTAGTCGGCGTGGATCTTGGCGAACGCGTCGAAATTCAGCTCTATGTGCTTGTTGAGCAGCTTCGTCTCGATGTCCTGCTGCCTGACGGTGCTCCCGCAGTCAAGCTTGTCGGCCCCTACGAACCCGCAGAAGAGGCGCATGAAGGAAAAAACGCCTCGCGAAACTACTTCGCATGATGTTGGCTAGCTGGGCGGCTACGTCAAATAGGAGCCGTTGTAAGCCGAGCGCCAGCAACGGAAAATATGACGGCAACGGGATGCAAGCATCAGCCAGATCACTAAGGCAGTGGCGACCACGGGATGGCACAGAAAGGAGACGGCGGAGAGGACGGCGGGAACAGAGACGGCAAGGAGCGGAGACGGCTGGTTCTCCTATCCAAGGCGGCGGGTGCAGAGGAGGAGGGGCATGGGGGCCGAACGAGAGTATAGGTGGGGTCAGAGATGAGGGGCGGATGGAAAAGGGCGGAGGAGGCGGAGGATGAGGGTGAGGAGAGGGAGGATAAGAAAGCGACCCAGGAGAACGCCGACAGGGCGAATGGCCACACATGGCATTAGTGCGGCGATGGCGGAGCGACTGATGGGGGATGAGTTGGTAAGAGGAGGGGAGGGAGGAGGAAGGGGACGGAGGAGGAATGAGGAAGCATTCCTCTCCTCATCCTCCTCGCCGTCCTGCACTTCCTCCTCGTCCCCCCCCCTGGAGGTAAAGAGGACCCAAAGGTCTAGCGTCTTGGCTCTGCTGCACTAAGAGGGCCCCCAGAAGCATCGACGCCGCCCCGGGGACTGGCTTCTCGGCTTCGGCAGTTGTTCGGCGGCCCCGGGGCCCGTCGAGGGCACCCGACGGCCCGAGACGACGCACAAGCTCCGCCTCGATGCTTGCCAGTGCGTTGGGGGCCCGGGGGGGCCTTAGGGAGGGGGCGCGCGAGCAGGAAAGGAGGCAGGACGACCAGGGGGGCAGGGGAGGGCCGCCAGGATCCTCCAGGTGCCGCTGCAGCCCCACCTCATCGCGGTCCTCCCCCGACATGGCGAACACCCTGCCTGCGGGACGGCACAACGCGGGTCGTCGCCGTCGTCGTCGATGCCGTCGACGCCGACGCCGATGTCATCCTCCTCTTCCTGCACCTCGTCCTCCTCCTCCTCGTGCTCTCCGCCTCGGCCTCCTTCTCGTCCTTCCCCGTCCCCCTTTCCTCCTCCCCTTCCCCACCTCATATCCCCTTCTTCTCTGCCTCATGTTTCTCCTGATCATCTCCCACCTCCCATTTCTCCCCCTGTTCCTGCGCATCCTCCTCCTCCTTCTCCTCCTCCTCATCCTCCTCCTCCTTCCTCCCTCCTTCTCGAGGGCATCAGTTCTGCAGTACAGTCATCTGCGTCTATGCTCCTTTTCCCTTGCCCTCCTCCTGTCCCACAAAAGGGAGGGACCCCACGGAGGCCAATCAATGTTTCCTGGAGCTTTCTGAGGCCTCGGCGTGCTCAGTGGTTCCTCAAGTCTTCCAAGGCTCTCGCTAACTCCAGCGGGGAGGGGGTCGCACACGAAGGAGCAAGGACAGAGGAGGATGAGGGGGAGGAGGCGGAGGATGATGATGCTGATGAGGAGAAGGAGGAGGACACGAACGCTCCGAGCACCGTGCTTAGTTAGAGTCTGGCCAACGTCAAAAGGAGGAGGAGGAGGAAGGGAAGGAGGAGGAGGAGAAGGAGGAGGAAGGGAAGGAGGAGGAGAAGGAGGAGGAGGAGGAGGAGGCGCCCCCCATATCGGCTGGGCGCGGTGCGGGCGTGCGGGGGCAGAGGCGTTAGGAAACGCCCGAAGGCGCTCTGGCCATCGCTGGGACGTCCATTCCCTGTGTTTTTTTTGGTTTTGTGCGTGGTTTGTTCGCCAGATGATCTAGGATGCTCCTCGATGGTCCTCGTCGAAGGAAAAATGCACACGTCCGAGCGATGCCAAGCGCTGCAGAAGGAAGGAAGGAGCATACCACATCCTTCAGAATCAGCCCCCGGACCTGTCACGGAGCGCACACCCACCAGGACCCAGAAGCGGATCGGGGCGTACCGAGCCCGAGGCCCTCCAGGAGACCCAGAAGACACAGGCATCCAGATCCTCTGCTAGTTCCCGCTCCTCCTCCTCCTCCTCCTCCTCCTCCTCCTCCTCATCGTCTTCCTCATCCTCCTCCTCCTCCTCCTCCTCCTCCTCCTGCTTCGCCTCCTCCTCCTCCTCGTCCTCCTCCTTCTGCTCCTCCTCCTCCTCCTCCTCCTCCTCCCTTCCCTTCCCAAGACGACACCAAGACCAGGATAACGTCGGACTGGGACAACTCGGAGATCTCTGAGATCCAGCGGTTCTGGAGAATGTTTCGGGCGCCGCGGCCGTTCCCGAGCGCTTCGGAACGCTCTCAGAGCGTTCCAGAACGCTCTGGAAATGCAACCGTCCTAGCCCCGCCCGATTCTCTTCCTCCTGCTGCCGGTCCTCCTCCCCCTCCTCCCACTCTTCCTCATCAGCTTGACCAGACTTAGCTCAAACCTGCACTTGGACCCCTGCTGAGGTACATCCTGGCATATTTTCTTGGGCGCGCCCGGACCACACACACACACACACAAAATCCGCCGACCCCTTGGGGCCACGGAGTGTGAGATGCTTACCCCTCCCCAAACCCCTCCCCTGGGGGCCTGGTCCGGCCTGTTTGGAAGGGTGGGGGTGGGTGGGGGGCAAGTCCATCATCCGCACACTTGGAGCCTCAGGAGGCCCCAAAACGGGCCAAAAAGGTTCCAAAGGTTCCCGGAACGGTCCTGGAGAGCTGCAAATCGACGAGGGATCGCCCAAAAACGCCGAAGATTGCCTCCACACGGCTCCATAAGTCCCCAAGACGTTTGAAACAATATTACGAGGCGCCCCAAAGAATCCCTCCAGAAGCAAAAAACGTCCTATTTGCATGTTCACCACATTCGCCCACTCGGCTTCCACGCGGCGCAGAACGGCCCAAGAAGCCTCCAAGATCGGCCCCCGCCAGCCCAAGAGGCTCCCAGAAAGGTTCAAAGACGGCGTCCGGGCGATCCACGAAGGCCCCAGAAACCAAACCAACGTCTAAGGAAAGCCGCAGGACGGTCCCAAGAGGGCTCCAAAGCGGGGCAAGAGGGCCCCCAACGGCTGTCCGGACTGCCCACCGGGGGCCCCCGAAGGCTGTCCAAACCGCCCAAGATGGCCTCCAGACAGCCCCATGGGCGTCCAAGACGTTTGCATACGCGACCACGAGGCGCTCCAAGCAGGCCTCCAGAAGCAAAATCCGTCCCATACCCTGAGGGGAAACGTACATGTTCAGCATGTTCGCTTCTTGGGCTTCCACGAGGCCCACAACGGTCCAGTAAACCTCCAACATCGACCTCTGGTACCCTAAGAGACTTTCCAAAAAGCTCCACGACGGCCTCCGGGCGCCCCACGAAGGCCCCAGAAACCATAGCAACGGCCCGGGGGAACGGCAGGACGGTCCTAAAAGCGCTCCACAACGTGTCTAGAGGGGCCTCACAGGCTGTCTGGACAGGCCACGCGGGGGACGATTGCTGCCACCCCAAGGGGTCGGCGGTGTGGCGTAAGCCAATGAATAATAGCACAAAACGTGCACGATGAATAATAGCCAATGAATAATAGCACGTCTCCGGAGGTCGTCAGAGAACTCCAGAGAAATGAACACATACGGCCAGGCCTAGGCCAGAGAAAATGCCCTTTTTCAGTAAGGGCAGAAAAACAACCCTAACTGAAGAACATTCGAGGGTCCCCTGTCCCAGGATGCACAAGAATATCCAACAACACGAAGATCATTGGGGTACCCTGTACCCTCCACGAGCTGACCTCGATCCCATACCTCGGTGCAGACGTAACACAGAACGAGGACGACACCAGCAGTCTCCGGAGGTCGCTGGAGAACTCCTCGAGGCTCAAAGCAGACGCCAGCGCCGCCAGGAACGTCCTCCGTTCCCTGCCCCTCCTCGCCTGCGGACGACGGCGACGGCGACCGTGGCGGCGACGACGCATGGCGACGCCGACGGCGGCGGCGGCGGCGACTCACGGAGGCCCCGGGGCGCCCACAAAGGCGGCCAGCGCTGCCAGCTGCTCTGGCCAGCTCCAGCTCTCCTCGAAGGGCAGCGGCATCGCCTCCGCCTCGCCGGCGGCGACGGACTCCGCGGACTCGGAGAACACGTTGACGCCCACCTCGGGTGGGCTTGTGCGTTGACCCCTGGTGGTCGCCCGGAGGCTACACGCAACGCGGATGAAAAATATATGCGCCGTACGGATGCGAGCCCCCCGAACGCAACAAAGCTGCGGCCGCTCGAAGCAGCAGAGAGGTTGGCTGGCCGAGAACTGGCCGAAGATGCCACGGGATGCACGGGCACTCTTGGGAGTCTCACGGAGGAGGGGGAGGAGGAGCAGCAGGAGGAGGAGGACGAGGGAGGAGGGAGGAGGGAGGGTGAGAAATAGGCGAATAAAGAGGACGAAGAGGAGGAAGAGGAGGTGGAGGAGGAGAAGCAGGAGGAGGGAGGAGGAGGGAGGGAGGAGGGAGGAGGGAGGAGGGAGGGGGGGAGACATCGGCGGAGGAGGGAGGAAATCACGAGGAGGAAGGAGGAGGAAACGACGAGGAGGAAGAGGAGGAGGAGGAGGAGGAGGAGGAGGAGGAGGGGCATCAGCACATACTGGCACCGCTGCTCCCCGGCACCTCTCCCGCAGTGCGCTCCGACCAGACGTTCGGGGGCGAGCCCCGCCGTGCCGACGAGAGGCGGGCAGCGGTGCTAGCAGCCAGAACACACACACACACGCACACACGCACACACGCACACCCACCCACACACACACACGACCACACACACGCGCGCACACACGCACACACGCACACACACACACACACACGCACGCACGCACGCACGCACGCACACACACATACACGCACGCACGCACGCACGCACACACGCACACACGCACACACACACACACCCGCACCCGCACCCATACACAAGCAGTCACAGGCCTGCGCAGATATCTCTTTCGGCTGCAGGCTGCAGGCAAGACTGGCCCCAGGCCCGAGGGAGCTCCGGAGCGCAACCTTTGGGGGCGCCCGTTCAGGCCCACAACGCAAGCGCGGAGGCAGCTGCTGTCTCACCGCATCAACGCTCGGAGGGACGCGCCTCGGGAGATCCTTAGCGCCACTGGGGAACTATGGAACTTCGCCTCCTCCTCCTCCTCCTCCTCCTCCTCCTCCTCCTCCTCATCCCCCTCCTCCCCCACCTCCTCACTCTCTCCCTCCCTCCGTCCCTCTCTCCCGCCCTCCCTTCCCGCGCGCTCGCCCAACTCGGGCGGCCCGAATGCCGCCCAGAAGGCGCCGCGAAAGCAGACGCTGCTGGGCGCCACCACGAGAAAATCTGGCACTTCTGGGCCGCCTCGCGAGGACGTCTGACCAGGTCCTGTGTCGCGGCCAGAACCGAGACTCCCGCATGCGCATATTTCAATAACGAGTGCAGACTGGGGGGGTCCAGTGCCAATTCGATAATCTTGCATTGGACGAAGATCAAACTCAGGTCTTACGCGAGATGGCACAGCGATCTTACGCGGTGGCCTACGCGGGCCGCCAGCGCGGCACGCCACACTGGAGAAGAGGGCGCTTACGCGCGACCTTACGCGGGCAGCTTACGCTTAGGTCGGGCCTGTCCCCCTACAGGCGGATCGTGGACGAAACATTAAAATACGCAGAAATGATTCCAACAATGCCCAAACATACACAAAATATTGTCCCCTAGCTATTGTTTATTTCTTTTGAGGACTCCTCCCGTAGAAGGACAGGCCGACTTAAACTTACGCGCCAATGTCGGCGCAGACTTAGTGGGCCCTGGAAACGGCAACGCCGTTTTTTACCTAACAGCGTTTGCTGATAGGTTTCTAATAAGCTCAAAAGAGAGCATCATGACTCCTCATCAGGGGGGTCTGGGCGGGTGCCGGGGAGGAGGGCCGGGAACAGAGCCGGGCTCGTTTTAAGCCAACAGTCACACACTTCGTGCTCTTCGACCTCCCAGAACTCCATTCCTGGGCCACATTTTGAATAACCGGAGCCAACAGTCACACACTTCGTGCTCTTCGACCTCCCAGAACTCCATTCCCGGGCCACATTTTGGATGCCCGGAGCCAACTGTAGGCCACTTCGTGCTCTTCGACTTCCCAGAACTCCATTCCCGGGCCACATTTTGGATGCCCGGAGCCAACTGTAGGCCACTTCGTGCTCTTCGAGTTCCCAGAACTCCATTCCTGGGCATGATTTTGAATGCCCGGAGCCAACTGTAGGCCACTTCGTGCTCTTCGATTCCCAGAACTCCATTCCTGGGCATGATTTTGAATTCCCGAGCCAACTGCCACTTCGTGTTCTTCTAGTTCCCAAATTCCATTCCTGGGCCACATTTTGAATGCTGAGGCAGGCTGATGCTGCGGCCTGAGGCTGAGGCTGAGGCTGAGGCAGGCTGAGGCTGAGGCTGAGGCTGAAGGCAGGCAGACTGAGGCTGAGGCTGAAGCAGACTGAGGCTGAGGCTGAGGCAGGCTGAGGCTGAGGCTGAGGCTGATGCTGAGGCAGGCTGAGGCTGAGGCTGAGGCTGATGCAGGCTGAGGCTGAGGCAGGCTGAGGCTGAGGCCGAGGCTGAAGGCAGACTGAGGCTGAGGCTGAAGCAGGCTGAGGCTGAGGCTGAGGCTGAGGCAGGCTGAGGCAGAGGCTGAGGCAGGCTGAGGCTGAGGCTGTGACTGCGACTGCCGTTGCCGCTGCGACTGTCATCGCGAATGCGACTACGACTGCGAGAACAACAGAATTCTACAACTGGATTCTCATCTGAATCTTAAGGGGAATGCTTCCAAATATGCTCCTACACATCGCTGTTAGGTTGCTTTGCCGGGATAATTTTTATCGGTTTCGTTCTGCCGTTTTTGTTGCCGGTTCCGACGCCGTTTGTTTACGGGTTCCGTCTCCGTTTGTTGACCAATTCCGGCTCCGGCTCCAATCCTGGTGCCGTTTTTTTGCCGTTTCCGGTCGCCGTTTTTGTTACCGTTTCCATTTTCAAGGAACACTTTTTGGGGAAACGGTGAAAAAAAACGGCCCTGCCGTTGGCCCACAAAGAGCGCAGACCACTTACAGGCGGACTGTGGACGAAAAATAAAAAACTCAAACCATATTCCAACAATGCCCAGACATACTAAAAAATCGTCCCCGGGCTATTTTCTTGCATTACTTTTGAAGATTCCTCCCGTAGATGGACAGGCCCGACCTAAACTTACGCGCCAGTGTCGGCACAGACCACCCCGTTTCCCTGCGTTGCTCGACTGGCGCTTGACACCCCCCCCCGACGCGCGGAACGCGCCAGGGGCGGTGTCTGGAGGCACCGCCTCGCCCGGGCACGTGCGGCGTCGCTATCGGGGGCACATCGCCGATGCATCGGCGATGCATCGCATACTGGTGGGCTTGTTTCCCACCGCCACCACCAGAAGTAGGAGGAGGGGGTACTCCTCCTCCTCCTCCTCCTCCTCCTCCACCTCCTTCCCCCCTCCAACTTATGGTGGTGGTGGTGGTGGAAAACAGGCCCAGGACATATTCCAGCTCGATGTTTCCCCTCCTGAGCTGGTCCTCCCAACTCGCCCCCATCCCCTTCATCACAGCGCGCGCAGGACTCTTTACGCGGCTTGAGGAGCGCGTGCTTTGGGGGGAGACTAGAGGCGACGCGAATGGGGAGGGTGAGCAGCTCTCAGAGGAGAAAGCTACCGACACAGCTGCTTGTCCTGCAGCCCACTCGTCGCCGCGGCTGGATTCTTTTGGAGTCCCGAAACGGTGCGGTGACAGACCGTGCGGTGACCTCGAAATCCCCCACGACCTCACCGCACGGTCCGTCACCGCACGGTCTTGGGACCCAGGAGGCCCCTGTCGCCCGAGACATCCTCTGAGAACGACCCGAGTCCCAAAACCGTGCGGTGACCCCGAATCCCCACCGACTCGCCGCACGGTGTGGTCACCGCCCCGTTCGGGGGCCCCCGAGTTCTCCTCGGAACTCTGGTCAGAGCGCACCCGGGGAGAGACCCGGATGGAGTTGCAGCAGCTGGGGCCAGTGGATCGCGCCCCACCGGCGACGTCAGCGATGCATCGGCGGCGTCGGCGTGGCGAACCTCGGGCACCGCACTGAGCCGTTTCGCGGATGAAAATCGGCGACGCGGTCCCATCGGGGCGGCATGGACAGGCGCTGAAAGTCCTGGGCAGGGCCGGGCGTGCCCGGTGCCGTCGCCTCTGCGAGCCAGGCCCAGGGGCCCGAACGCAGCGATGAGTTCCGCGTCGTGATGCATCGCCTAATGCATCGGCGATGGATGAGCGATGGGGGGTCGATGCACCCCCTCCGAGCCTATCCCCCCCAAAGCTGCCCTGTGGCTTTCGGGTCGGGTCAAAACTAGGCACTCAGGAGGCACTCAGGCGGCCCTTCGGGACGGTCGGAGCAACCCTGGAACGCTCTCGGCGAGGCGCAGCTGCTGGAGACACCCCGAGGCTGGAAAGCCGACGAGAACAGACGAGAACCGACGAAAACCTCCGAAAACCTCAAACCTCGAATCGCCGACGCCACCTGCCTCGACCCCGTTTGGGCGGTTCTTGGGCCCGAGCCCGCCGAGACGTCGAGCCCCGACTGCACCCGGTGTAGCCACCCAGGCGGCACGTACAGCACGTCGCCAGGGCCCAGCTGGGCAACCATCCTCTCACGCAGGTCTCTAGCATTTTCCGCTTTCGTGTTGTGCTCGTTGTCCCTCGCTCTGTTTTCGTTCCGCCTTTTCTGCAGCGCGGCATCAAAACGAGAACGGTCCGCGAAATCGTCAAAACACAGGTTAGCTCGCGCACTCCTTCCACGAGCAGAAATTATCCATATCGACTTGGATCGGCGCGGGGGAGTGCTGAGGGGACAGGGGGCTTCATCAGTGGATGCATCGACGCGAGGAGGTTCGGCGCGGGGTTGATAAGTGGATTGGGGACTCTCAGTGGATGCCAAAGTGGGTTACATTCAGCTGGACTTAACATAAGACTGCGATACAAGTGCGCACAGTGGCTTAGGGGGGTAGATAGACCCGCTCAGTGGGCGTGGGCAACCTAGCCCATATCGTTACGTACCCGCTGAAGGCACGTGGGGCACTTGCAACCCACTCTTAAACTAGGCTAGGTCAAATATAATCCACCTTGGCATTCACTGGGCCCGGCCAACGAGGCCGTCGGTACGGATGCGTTTTCCGCCCGCGAACCCCTCCACCTCCACCTCCACCTCCCATACCTTCTGACCTCCGCGGAACGTGCGGAAGAATGTATCGAAACTCATGGAGATCTCACGTAATTCACGGACCCCCCTATGGATCATAGCTAAAGAAGGGCGGAAGGCTAGGGCGAAAGAGGGGGAAGGTCCTTCTCTCGCACCAGAGCCGCGCGGCCAACGGAAAGCGCTGCAGGTCGACGTCATCCAGGTCCGGGATCATCGACTGCCTGCTCTGCGGATGTCCCTTCGCTGGCACGAAGGCAAAACGCACGCCCAGAGGGCAGCGGGCCCAGCATCCTGGAGCCCCAGTTGCCCCAGGGCCAGCCACCCCAGGGCCAGCTTCGAGCCGTCCTTTGACGCGTCCCAGGGGACCGTGGAGGGCCTGGGGAGGCGAAGTTGGGCGAGAATGAACGGGGGGCGACACGTGGGGGGGGGGGGGAGTGAAAGGTGCCCCTCTATCGGGCCCTAAGGCTCCCTTCTGGGCCCGAAGCAAACTACCTCCCAGGGCCCCCAAAGGGTCCCTTTTTCGGCAGCCTCCGCTGCCGCCCAAACACCGCCTCCTCCTCCTCCTCCTCCTCCTCCATCCTCCTCGCTCCTCCTCCTCCTCCTCCTCCATCCTCCTCCTCCTCCTCCTCCTCCTCCTCCTCCTCGCTCCTCCTCCTCCTCCTCCCTCTAACCTCGCTGCCTCCTCCGTCCTCCTCCCCCTCCCCCTCCCCCTCCCCCTCCCCCTCCCCCTGTCCCCCTACCCCTCCGCTCCCCCTCACCCCTCCCCCGCCCCATCCCCCTCCCCCCTCGACTCCCCTCCCCCTCCCCCTCCCCCTGCCCCCTCGCGCGCCTCCCCCTCCGCCCTCCCACCTCACCCTCGCCCCTCCCCATCCCCCTCCCCCTCGGGCGGGCCCCTCCCGCTCCCCCTCCCCCTCCCCCTCCTCCTCCTCCTCCTCCTCCTCTCCTCCTACTCCTCAACCCCTCCCCCTCCCCCTCCTCCTCCTCCTCCTCCTCCTCCTCTCCTACCTCCTCCTCCGCTCCTCCTCCTCCTCCTACCTCCTGCCTCCTACCCTCCTCCTCCTCCTCCTCCCTCCTCCTCCTCCTCCGCCTCCTCCTCCTCTCCTCCTCCTCCTCGCTCCTCCTCCTCCTCCTCCTCCTCCTCCTCCTCCCCCCCGTTTCATCGCTCTCCTCCTCCTCCTCCTCCTCCTCCTCCTCCCCCCCGTTTCATCGCTCCCCCCTGACGCGGACTCCAACGAAGCACGGCGCACGAGCCTCTGGGCCCGCTTCCCACGGGGCACCTTTCCCTCACGGCGACCTTCGGGGCCGTGTACAGGGCTCCGGAGGCGGACGGCGCGAAGAGGTGGAAGGTCTTCGAGCCGAGGACCTGCACGAAAAAGTTGTGGGACAGGTCGTAGTGCGCAGACATGACCGTCCCACGGCATCCGAGCCACGTGTTCACGGTGGCGTTGTCTGGCACGCCCGGCCCCGCTTCCAGGGATCCCCCTTCACTCCAGAGGCCGTGGTAGAGCAGGGCGTGAAGCCCAACCGTGCAGGGCGTTGGACGTCGACGTGGACGAGAGGGGAACGGGGGGGGGAAGTGAGAAGCCCCGACGGTGGGAAGGCGGGCCTCCTCAGAAGCCTCGGAAGTCCCCTGGCCTTCTGAACAAGTTTTCTAAGCCTCCCCCGAAGACACAGAAAACTTCTCAGAGGACGCGAGGGCGTCTGAGAAGTCCCGCCACCTACTGAGAAGGCCTTCTCCTCCTCATTTCCTCAAGTCGGGCATGTCCTCCTGCAGGGGGATCTCGCAACAAAAAATTAGAAGTAGTCAATCAATCATAAAAAAAACCATAAACAGCCGATAAATCGTCCCCAGACTATTGCTTGGACCATCCTGCAGGAGGGACACGCCCGACTGACTCACTTCCCCGCCCCTCACTCGCCACCGAATGGAGAACCCGGATCGCGGACGCCCTAAGGAGCCTGCCTGTCGGCGGCGACGAGGGACACGAGGCGTCGGGGAGGAGGAGGAGGAGGAGGAGGAGGAGGAGGACGAGGAGGAGGAGCAGGAGGAGGAGGAGGAGGAGGAGGAGAACGAGGGGGAGGAGGAGGAGGAGGAGGAGGAGGAGGAGGAGGAGGAGGAGGAGGAGGAGGGAGGAAGGAGAACGAGGAGGGAGGAGGAGGGAGGGAGGGGGGAGGGAGGGAGGGATGGAGGGGGAGGAGGAGGGAGGGAGGGAGGGAGGGCGGGAGGGAGGGAGGGAGGGAGGGAGGGAGGAGGAGAGGAGGAGGAGGAGGAGGAGGGGAGGAGGAGGAGGAGGAGGAGGAGGGGAGGAGGGAGGAGAGGAGTCGTCGGGCAGCAACAGCCGGGGCGGGCAGGGCGAGGGCACGCCTGGCGCAAGAGACACAGAAGGGCCTCGCTCTGCGCGGGCCCGCCCCTCGCCATCGCTCGGCCGTCCCTCCTCCTCCCTCCTCCTCCCTCCTCCTCCCTTCTCCTCCTCATCTCTACCTCCTCCTCCTCCCCTCCTCCTCCCTCCTCCTCCCTCCTCCCTCCTCCTCCTCCTCCTCCTCCTCCCATTCCACGTGCATGTTTCGGTGGCCCAAAATGCTCCTCGATGACCCCCCTCGGGACAGAATCCACACGTCTGGGCGATGCCGAGCGAGTGCGCGCACGTGGCACGGGCGCGGTCCGCGGATGCTCGCCCCCACGCTGCGCCGGCGGCTGGTTGGTGCGCGTCGGGCCCCTCGCTGGCTTCCTGAGATTGTTCCTGGAGAGACGGTAAGGACAAGACCGCCTACGGCGACAGCAAGACCGAAAATCGACCGAACTGGCGGCGAAATCGAGACCGACAGAGATCCACGAGCCGCGGGCAGCCTGAGAGGGCGCGGCAAAGCGGCAACGGCACTAACCAGCCGAACCGACCCGACCGAACGCAACCTACTGCACACCAGCCGAGCCGACCGAACCACGAACACTGTTGAGGCCGCCCAAATAGGGTCCGAGCTTGGTCGCAGGATCGCACCGCATCGGCCATGCATCCCCGGATGACCGACGATCTTACATTGTCAACCCGAGGGTTTTCCTAAAATTCGTGCCTCGGGGGCCGTTCTCGAGCTCCGGGACCGTCACACTGAATCCGGGGCGGGAAGCTGACCATAGAAGCAGTCGGGACCTCCGGGGCCGCGGGTTGCCCAAATCATTTCGATGGATGGCAGGGTCGGCGACATCGGCGATGTAACTCGGCGACGTCGGTGCGAAGAAGATCGGGCTCCAGATCGAGTCACACGAGCGATGAATCGGCGATGCGGCGCGATGCACCGACCCTATCTACTTCGACCCCAGCTGGGCGGCCTGGAAAGCCGATGAAGGCCCATGGCCCATTGACAAAAAAACATTCGCCGATGTGATCTTGTTCAGTGCGCGGCCCCAGAGGCCCAGACTACTTTCCCAGGCGCAGGTTCTCTGATAACAACATGAGAGCGATGCGAATTGTATGTAAACCAATGCTGTCAGCGCCCCACGTCGTACACAGGGCTACGGTGTCGCCTGCGGGGGCAGTTTCTCGCGCCAGATCTATTTTTTGATGGCCCTGCAGCCCGTGGACGCTCCCCAGACACCGAAAAATCGAGGACGAGCGCGCACACCGAACAAAGTCCTCTCGTCGGAGACCCTGGGGCGGGGGGGGGGGGCGGGCGTGCCCGATGTGGTCTTCTCCCGGAGCCCAGCCCAGAGGCACGAACGGAGCGATGGTGAGGGGGAACGTTAGGGGGGGGACCAGGCCAACTGATCGAAGATCTTCTGACCCGGGTCAATCCAGACCCGGGTCAGCAAGAAACCAAAAACTGCAATGCAAGAAAACAAAACTGCAACGCAGGTCTTCGCAAATCCGGGTCAGGCGCGGCCGCCTCGCGGCCACGAGCGGCCCGCCAACCCGAGTCAGCCAGAGGGGGTCTTCGCAGGATCCTGCAGGATCCGGCGCTCTGGCTGACCCCCGCCTGCATTGACCCCCGTCTCAAGGCTCCCGAGCTGAGGGGGAGAAGCCTCGACCGGCGATACCTCGCCGACAGATCGGCGGAGGGGCCCCGATGGCAAAAAACCGCAGGCTCCTGGGCGGGGGGTGGGCTGTGAGGCCCCCATATCGGCGAGGAACGGGCGGCTGGGGGTCCACATATTGAGCAGGGACCGACCGTCCCGGCATTCCTATAGTCCTACCACGACATGTTCGTAGAACCCAAGAATGTCCCAAGAACAAAAACAAGGTTCTTAGAACATATCCCCAATGTGTTAAAACAAGGCAGGCTCTACCAGAAATGTTCTAAGAACACTTCCTGGAAACCACAAAAGGTTCTTAAAACATTGTTTGGTGGGGCTACAGGCGAGCCAGGACGCTTCGCCGCTGCTTGAATATATCCCTCTCCGAGCCTGTACCCCCTCCTATCGTAGCCCCTGAGATAGGCTCCACGTCGTCCACGCGCCGGCCACCCTGATCCTCTGCGCGGCCCGAGTAGTACAGGAAGCGGGGCGGGCCTGCGGGAAATCGCGGCCGCTGCAGGGCGGGACCACTCTGGGTCATCTAGGTCGCCGAACTTTTCGCGCACGGCGCCCCACGACGCCCGAAATCGGAAAAGGGAGCTGCGCACATTGGAGGAGGAGTCTCAGGAGTGGGCGGATGAGCAGGAGGATGGGCAGGAGGAGAAAGAGGGGGATGAGGAAGGAGAAGAAGGAGCTGGAGGAGCAGAAACACTAGGAGAAGGCGGAGGAGCGAGAAGGGAGGACGAGATGACGATGAGTCAAGACTCGGATCCAGAAAATACGTGGCCAACGCTCGGGCGAGAGCACCAGTCTGGACGACGGGAACCAAGCGCCGATCTCGGGGATGGACAGACCCCCCTTTAGTAAAACGTGGTTTAGTGAAAACGACCTGAGACCCAAACCTGGTGGGCGCAAGCCTGGAAAATAACGGCCACGGCGCCCACTCGAGAACCGAAAACGGACAATTCACTAATCGACGTGTCACTGTTGGGGGTTCTGTCCACCCCCGACGATCCTAACATGAGGCCGACGCTGCAGCAGTACCATCTCGAGACCACGAGCATGCCCCGACGCAACAACGGCTGAGGAGAGACCGGACTCTGACCTCCTGGATGCAATCGAAAAAACGCGGAGAGGGGCACGGGCGACTCCCCAGTCGTCTTCGGGGGAGAGAGGGAAAGAGTATTCGTGTGGGGCGAAAAGCTTAAACAAAAACATCGTCTTGACATTTGCCCATACGTTAAAGGTCTGAGTCGACGAGCAAACCGGCAAAATCCGGAATGCCAATATGGTGGGTGCCGAACTGTCACAGTACTGTCGGCACGCCCGAGAGGCGATGCCGAGTTGATGCGTCTTGCGACAGTACAAGCATTATCTTGCGCAGCTCAACACCCTGGCGCGAGCGGCCGAACGACCCGTCTTAGGAACATGGGAAGCCGACACCCAACACCACCAGGGACCGCTAGCGGGAGGAGCCAGGGCGGGGTCTCTTGGTGGTGTGGTCCCCCCTCTCGCTCGGGATATCCCCTACTCCCCGGCTCGGAGAGGCACCGTGGACCTCCCCGCTGGAGGGGGCCCCCTGGTGGTGCTGGTGCCGCTTCTCCTTCCCCACATCTGCTGGTACAGTTAGCGTTAGGTCGGGAATGTCCCCCTACAGGCGGAGGTTGGACAAAAAAATAACAAAGGCAACAAACTCTCAAACATAGAATCAAACATCGAGGAATAAATCGTCCCCAAACATTTTTTGACTATTCTCGAATATCCTCCTGTAGAGAGACACGCCCGACTCAAGGTTAGCAGCCTCTATTGATTGGACATGGGCGCGGCTAAGAGAGGGGCGTCCAAGAGGGGGGAGGTGCAAATCATGGCCAGCGGCATATGCGCGGCCCAGGGGGGGCCAGGGACGCAATGAAATTAGAAGAGGTGCCATGCAATCTGCGAAAATATCATGGCCCACGCCATGTTGTCCACCCCCTCTCTAGTCATCACCCCCTCTTTTCGGGGGCGCGCAAAGATGGATTAATGATCCATGTATCTGGCGCGCGGTCGCCAAGTCCATGGAACGGGGGAGGCGCTCTCCCCAAAATGCGGCCGGTGCCGCCTCGCTCGGCGGCGGAAATTGGCGCGACTTCCCCTGGAAGCGGGACCCGTCGCTAGCTAATCCACGCCCCCCTGATCCATGTCTGCGATCGCCTGAGCTATCCATCCCCCCTAGCCTTAAGTCGGGCGTGTCCCCCAACAGGCGGATTTTGGGCGAAAAATGACAAATACCCAAAACATACACCAAAATGGCCAAAACAACAACAACAACAACAACAACAACAACAACAACAACAACAACAACAACAACAACAACAACAACAACTAGCACGTGGGGACACACCGTTCTCACCAGTGCCAGGGTTTTCATAGGAGGCGGGCAATACCCCCACTTTGTGGGGGGGCCGGTTCAAGCTCTACCAAATTTCCAAACGACTCTTCGCCACCACCCACACCCAGCTTCCCGCCCTATGACGTTCGGACACTTCACTTCGTGGCATGCGGACGACCGTGGCTACTATTCAGGGCCCCGCGGCCGACGACGACGGCGTGCGCGCGCGAAGAAAAAACGAATGTGTCCCGCATGGTATTATTTGACAGGGATGATGGCCCTGGCAGGTGCGCAACCGTTGTTGCAGAAGTTCGAAAAAGTTGCTCGCAAAAGCCCGTTTGACAGAAATGATTAAAAAAGTGTTGGGTTTCCTACGAATCCGCAAGAGCGCGCGGGATGAAATGTTGACAATTTTTTTTTGAAAAACCATTGGTTTTTTTTATGTTTTTATGTTAAAATCGCTACGAAAACTAAGGTTTTGGAAGGATTTCGTCTTGCGCGCGCGAATGTCCACTTTACCTTATTTTTTGCAAGGGATTCTTGAAGTTTGGTTATGTTAGAACAAGAAATGTCCACTTTAGCTTATTTTTTGCAAGGGAAAACCGATCGTAACAACACAACCGGATCCGGACCAACCCGTTTTGCCTGAGACTTCCTCACGAAAATGATGAAAATGAGGCTGCGGCCTAGGCGCGGCGGGGGGGTCGTGCACCAGGGGTCCCAACAATAATTATTCTTTAGAAGTAATAATGTTCAACAACAACAACAACAACAACAACAACAACAACAACAACAACAACAACAACATCACTTTACCCGAACGCTCAGTGTTCTCACCAGTGCCAGGGTTTTCATGCGACGCCAGCCAATACCCCCACTTTGTGGGGGGGCAGTGCAAGCTCTACCAAATATCCACACGACTCTTCGCCACCACCCACACCCAGCTTCCCGCCCTATGACGTTCGGACACTTCACTTCGTGGCCTGCGGACGACCGTGGCTACTACACTGGCGTGGAGTACACACCCACAGAAGTTGTTAAGCCTACGTTCGTACACCCACAGAAGTTGTTAAGCCTTGTTAACCCACAGAAGTTGTTAAGCCTTCCCCCAGAACATCTGTTGCATATGATGCATATGGTACATGATACACATGATACACACGATACGTACTCACAAGATAGTTGATCACATCTGGTTTTTGGAGATTTCGGCGTGCGCGCGCGAAGAAAAAACGAATCTGTCCCGCATGGTATTATTTGACAGGGATGATGGCCCTGGCAGGTGCGCAACCGTTGTCGCAGAAGTTCGAAAAAGTTGCTCGCAAAAGCCCGTTTGACAGAAATGTTTAAAAAGTGTTGGTTTTCCTACGAATCCGCAAGAGCGCGCGGAAGAACATTTTGACAATTTTTTCTTAAAAAACCATTGGGTTTTTGATGTTTTTATGTTAAAATCGTTACGAAACCTAAGGTTTTGGAAGGATTTCGTCTTGCGCGCACGAATGTCCACTTTACCTTATTTTTTGCAAGGGATTCTTGCAATTTGATCAAGTAAGAACAAGAATTTTCATTTTATAGTGTTTTTTGCAAGGGAAAACGGAGTACAACAAAACAACCGGATCCGGTAATAATTCACTTTTCTGAAGCTTTCGCTAAAAAATGATGAAAATGTAGCTGCGGCCTAGGTTTTGGAGGGGGGTCGCGCACCAGGGGTCCCAACAATAATTATTCTTAAGAAGAAATAATGTTCAACAACAACAACAACAACAACAAAACGTCCCCAGACCATGTTTAGACAATTTTTTGATGTCCCTCCTGTCGGCGGTGGACAAGCCTCCCTTTAGTAAACCTCCCCTTAGTGAAAACGGCCCGGGACCGAAACCGACGGACCTGGAACCGCAAAAAAAAACGGCCGCGACGCCCTCCCGCGAACCGAGAACGGCCAATTCCTCAATCGACGTGTCACGGTAGGAGGTCTATCCGCCTCCGATCCTGTGGAGAGACAGGCCCGACCTAACCCTGGGCGGAACCCCCCTCTCTGCCGCCCCCGAGGGACGCCCCGGCTCGCCCGCTCCAGAGGCCCCTCCCCGGGGGCGAGGCCGCCGCCCTGCCGCAGTTTTTTTTACGCACCCCCTGGGCGGCGTTTTTTTGTTGAATGGGCCCTGGGACACACACGCACAAATACACAGGCACAAACATGAAGTAGGAAGGCGGATGTAGTTGATTGGGTCCAGGCCCCCCCAGGGAAAAACAGAACACAGCAAAAGCATGTCGACTCTGGAAGTAGGAAGGCGCTTGAAGTAGATTGAGATCTGGGGGTCCCAAAATACATACTTTCAGCGACCGGCGTGTAACAGGATTCCCCATATTTCCCCACGTTTCCTGGGTGCTCGTCCTCCCCCCGACCTCCAACATTCTCCCACATTTCCTGGGGGCCGACAATGAAGTGTGTCTGTGTGTGTGTCTGTGTGTGTCTGTGTGTGTCTGTTGTGTGCGCGTGCGCGTGTGTGTGTGTGTCTCTGTGTGTGTGTCTCTGTGTCTGTGTGTGTCTGTGTGTGTGCGCGTGTGCGTGTGCGCGTGCGTGTGCGCGCGTGTGCGCGTGCGTGCGTGCGCGCGTGCGCGCGTGTGCGCGTGCGTGCGTGCGTGCGTGCGCGTGTGTGTGTGTGTGTGTGCGCGCGCGGGTGTGTGTGTGTGAGTGTGAGTGTGAGTGTGAGTGTGAGTGTGAGTGTGAGTGTGACTACGTGTGTGTGAGTGTGACTGTGTGTGTGTGCGTGCGTGCGTGCGTGCGTGCGTGGGTGCGTGGGTGCGTGCGTGTGCGTGTGCGTGTGCGTGAGCGTGCGTGCGTCGTGCGTGGTTGCGTGGCGTGGGGTGTGTGTGTGTGTTGTAGTGGGTGAGCAGTGCGTGCGTGCGTGCGTGCCGTGCGTGCGCCGTGCGGTGTGCGTGGGGGTGCGGGTTGGGTGTGTGTGTGCGTGCGTGTGTGTGTGTGTGTGTGTGTGCGTGCGTGCGTGCGTGGGTGTGTGTGTGTGTTTGTGTGTGTGTGTGCGTGTTTTCCCTCCTGAGTTACCGACGCGCCCCCTGGGCGGCGCCTTTGCCCGCCCCCCGCGGGCCGTCGCCCGTGCGCGTGCGTGCGTGCGTGCGTGCGTGCGCGTGTGTGTGTGTGCGCGCGCGCGGGGGCGCGGGCGCGGGTGTGGGTGTGGGTGCGGGTGTGGGTGTGGGTGTGTGTGTGTTGGTGTGTGCGTGTGTGTGTGTGTGTGTGTGCGTGTGTGGGTGTGTGTGTGTGTGTGTGTGTGTGTGTGGTGTGGTGTGTGTGCGGGTGCGCGGACATGCGAGTGCGCGTAGCGCGTGTCCGGCCCCCATGGGCGTGCGCGTGCGCGTGGCGCGTGCGCGTGTGCGCGCGTGCGCAGTGGCGTGCGTGCGATGCGTGCGTGCGTGCGTGCGCGCGTGCGTGCGCGTGTGTGTGTGTGTGTGCGTATGCGTGCGTAAGCGTGCGGTGCGTGCGTGTGTTGTGTGTGGGTGTGTGTTGTGTGTGTGCGTGCCGCGCGCGCGCGTGTTGTGTGTGTGTGTGTGTCGTGTGTGTGTGTGTGTTGCGTGCGTGCGTGCGTGGCGTGCTGCGTGCGATGCGTGCGTGCGTGCGTGCTGCGTGCGTGCGCGTGTGTGTGTGTGTTGTGTGTGTGTGTGGTGCGTTGTGTGTGTGTTCTTGTGCGTGTGTGTGCGTGTGCGTGTGTCTGTGACGTGTGCGTGTGGGGCGTGTGCGTGTGCGTTGCGTGTGCGTGTGCGTGTGCGCGTGCGTGTGCGTGTGCGTGGAGCTGTGGCGGGTGCGGTTGCGGGTGTCGGTGCGTGTGCGTGTGCGTTGCTGTGCGTGAGCGTGTAGCGTGTGCGTGTCGTGGAGCGTGTGCGTGGGCGGGTGCGGGCGGGTGCGGGTGCGGGTGCGGGAGACGTGAGCGTGTGCGTGTGCGTGTGCGTGTGCGTGCCGCGTGTGCGTGAGCGTTGTTGCTGGTTGTGTGGTGTGTGTGTGCGTGGTGTGTGTGTGTGCGTGCGTGCGTGCGCGCGCGTGTGTGTGTGGTGTGTGTGCGTGTGTGTGTGTGTGTGTGTGCGTGCGTGCGTGCGTGCGTGCGTGCGTGCGTGCGTGCGTGCGTGCGTGCGTGCGTGGGTGTGTGCGTGTGTGTGTTTGTGTGTGTGCGTGTTTTCCCTCCTGAGTTACCGAAGCGCCCCCTGGGCGGCGCCTTTGCCCGCCCCCCGCGGGCCGTCGCGCGCCGCCGCGCAGGCCGCGAAGAAGTCCCCCAGGGTGAGGCTCACGCGCTCGCTCGGCGGCGCGCCCGCAGGGGAAGCTCACCCCCACATGAGGGGGCCCTGGGACACACAAATAAATAGACAGGAGTAATAGGATTCCCCATATTTTCCCAAATGTTCCGGGTTTTTGTCTCCCCCCACGCCTCCAAAATGTCCCATCTCTTCTGGGGAATCGACGGCCAATTGTGTCTGTGTGTTTGGTCCCCAATCGTCGCCCCCCTCTTGGCCGCTCCCGGTGGACAGGAGGCGCCTCGGCGGGCCGGCGCCAAGTGGGTCCCGGAAACGGCAGGGCCGTGTTTTCCCCGTTTCCGAAACGGCAAAAAACCGGCGACCGGAAACGGCAACAAAAACGGCTCCAGGATTGGAGCCGGAGCCAGAACCGGTCACAAAACGGCGACGGAACCGGTAAAAAAACGGCGTCGGGACCGGCAAAAAAACGGCAAAATGGAACAGGTAAAAAAACGGCCCTGTCGTTTCCAGGGCCCACTAAGCCCAGGGACACACAAACAAACGCACACCAATCCCAGGAGTCCCCACATTTTCCAGCATTTTCCGGGTTTGTGTCCTCCCCATCACTCCCAAAATCTTCCTGGGAATCGACGAGTCGCTGTGTCTGTGTTTGTTCTTTTTCCCTCCTGACTCTCCTGCGTGCTGACAGGAAACGACAGGCAAAACTAAGACGGAGGCCCTCCACCCAAGATGCCCCCAGGGTTTTCGGGATGGCCCAGAGCACCCCTAACGAGGCCCAGAGGGCTCCTGGGGCCCAAATATGAAGCGAAAAGCTGGGGGGCCTCCTTTTCCGGGTGTTGCTAGAGTCTAGCAACACCCGAAAAGGGGAACTCTACAGCACGTTGAAAAACAGCAGACAGAAACAAAACGGAGGCTCTCCACCTGTTTGATCTGGCTCCAGGGGCCCTCGCGGGGGCCCAGGGATCTTCAGATAACGGCTCAGGAGACTCGGGACGAGAAGCTGGTCCCTGAGAAGGGGTCGAGACTTCTGGGGACCCCGCATTGAAAGAATCCGACGACGCTGGCGGCGTGTGTGAAAAGATTTTCCGTTTGAGTCGTCGTCGTCGCCGCCTTTCTCCCTCACGCGACACGTTCCAGCCAGAGGGGAATCGAGAAGCGTCGCAATCGAGTCGAAGCCCTTTCCCTTTGATCCCTCTCCCGCAAAAAGATGGGAGCGTGGGCTCCCAGGGAGGGGGGTCCCGGGCGGTCCTCGGGGGTTCTGCAGGGGTCCCGGGGGGGGGTCCTGGGGGATCAGGGGGTCCCCGCGGGGGAGCAACCCTCCATGGGCAAAGCTTTCGGCTCCATAGGGTCAGCGTCGTCGTCGTCGTCGCACCCTTCAGGGTCGGCAGCACCGGCCGTGAGGCATTCGCAATCAAGACGTCGGATCGCTGGGGAGAGAACGGGCCGTTGCTTCTCAGAGGGCTGGAGGGCTTCGGGGAAGCCCCGCCTCCCTCTGAGCATCGAGGGCCCTGCAATGGTATTGTGCGGTGACACACCGTGCGGCGACCCGAAAACACCCGAAGACCGCACCGCATGGCCCGTCGCCGCGCGGTTTGGAGACCAAAAAGGCTCCATGCCGCACGAAACGTCCTCGGAGAGGAGGAAGAGAAGGAGGAGGAGGAGGAGGAGGAGGAGGAGGAGGAGGAGGAGGAGGAGGAGGAAGAACGAGCGCACGGGAGAGGACGAGCGAGCGGGGAGGAAAAGGAGGAGGAGGAGGAGGAAGAGAGAAAGGAGGAGCCAGTGGAGGAGACGGGAGGAGAGGGACACGGATGAGGCGGAATATGAGGAGACTAAAGTAGGGGAGGAGAAGAGAGGGAATGGGCGGAGGAGGAGGAGGAGGAGGCGGAGGAAGGGGGGGAGGCGGGGGGAGGGGAAGATGGGGGGGGGTCGGGGCGGCAGGCGGCGAGGAGGAGGGGGGAGGGGGAAGAGGGCGGAGGAGGAGGAGGAAGAGGAGAAGGGGGAGGAAGAAGAAGAGGAGGAGGAGGAGGAGGAGGAGAAGGAGGAAGAAAGGGACGAGAGGGGAGGAGGAGCCGGAGTCGGAGTCGGAAGCCTTGGCAATTCGGTCCGCTTGTCTCGACGGCTGAAACGAGGCCGCTCTCCTCGAACTCGAGCTATTCGTTGCTGGCTAGATGATTCGGCGTTGCAGACGGATGTTTGCGGGACCCATGGCCTATTGAGCCTCTCGGGCCCGCTGCGACGCTGGGTCAAATTCCCTCCTGCGTTTGCAGCTCTGGACGTGTGAGAGGTTATTGCACTATGGCGCATCCCCCTCACTCTCGGGCGAGGCTCCTAAACTTTTAACTGATTTGGTGTTAAGACCTCGACGCGTCAGAACTGCTGCAAGGGTAGCCCCTGCCCGCTAAAATCCCCCCCAACCACTCCCCCCCCCACCCGCCAGTTGGTTTGTGGGCAATGCCCACTCAAACAAAAACAGTCAGACGAGGTAAGCTCCTAGAGTCCTTCACAGTCGCCTAAAAACACCAGGCCAGACGCCAGAAAAAGGGGGCGGGGACCTGGGGCCAGGGGTGCAGCGGGGTAGTGGCAACGAGGGCGGAACGGGCGAGGCCTGCATCCTATGTCAGACAGATCCACTGCCCAACGCCGCGAACATGTCCCCGTCCTATCTCCGCACGGGCCCCTTGGCCCTCAGCTAGGGTTGCACACTCTCAGCCGTGCTGGGTAAATACAAACAAAAGAATCAAATCATTCCCGCTTGCCTAGAGATGGGCTCCCTCCGAGGCGCTTCAACAATTCCGCTGCCCTCACGCTGCCTTGTTACGCCTGTCGGCGCAGTCCTGCCACATCTACGCCGTGGCTTGCCGCTGGCGGACAGACTTCTGAACCTGTCTCTCGAGCGCTGTGGGAGGAGGCGCCCCCACAATGGCCGATCCGCCCGTGGCCTTCATCGCCATGTAAATCAT